TGGGGTGGAGAAAAAAAAGGTAATCTAATATGCTAATCGTTCAAAACGCTTAATACATACATATCATCATCATCCGGTGCCTTGCCGACTGGCGTGGGCGATCATGGACCTCCACTTCACCCTGTCCTTCGCTGCAGCAATGGTGTTGTTCTTGCTGCTCCCAACCATGTTATTATACATATATAATTAATCATTAATATAGAAATCGAAAGCTTTAAGAATTGTTTTCATCTCAAAATCGTTCTTAAATTGCTAAGACTAAGAATAAGAGGTCGGGAGATCAGTGGCTAGTTATTGTGCAGTTAACTTAATACGTTAACCAAGAATTATGAAAAAGGTTTCGAAATTAATCACGTAAATTTAATGCACTGACGTTTGGACACATTTCCTCTGATGCTGTCCGAAATGCTGTAGAGAAAGCAGAGAGTAGCCAGTAGCTGGATCTTTGAAGCCATGGTGTCTTCGATGCCAGAAGAGAAACAAAATGAAACAGAATTAACTTCAGTCACACGTATTATAATATGATAAACAAAATATTTTTGGCTTAACTGGTTCACCTGTCCTATTTTCCGCTTTCTCCCACCGCCTACCCCCACCAAATTCTTCTCACACTCACGTATGTAGCCCTACTGATTCTTTTAAAATAAAAAAAATAAATGAAACAAGGCCTTGGTTGAGATGTTATCTTTTATTCATAACATGATTGGAACAACGCAGTGGAACTCGTTGCATCTGCTAATCAGCTGCTAGATTTCCAAGGCTACCTCTGTGATTGCTTTAAATCCCCACATTGGCACCTCGGCAAGAACAAAGAATAGCACAAATGTAACACACGAACCAATATGACCTCGCAGCCCCGTACGCCGTAGTGCTTAAAATTCACCTCTATTTTGCCCCGCTGATTTAGGAATAACACAATACAGTTGTATCTATTTCTAATAAAAGAACTAGAGAACTTATTTTAATGCTGATATTTATAAGAATTCAGGAAAAGGATACCGGTACTGGAATAGTCAATCTAGGCTTCAGCCATCACAGTTTCACTCTACAATTGTGTTTTATCATCTTTGTAAAGGGTTCCACTATGAATTTAAAAAAATTAATTAACTTGTGCTAAACAGAAATGAAAGAAATTAAAAATTTGTCAACTGAGCTGTAAGACTTAGACCTCCACGGAATATGGGGGTACATTACATCAAAGCTCATACATGTGTTCATTGTCATGACAGGGGTAAGTGTGGGATTAACCCATAGTGAAAGGTTTTAGAATGTTGAAGCACAAAACTAATTTTTTTTAAAAAATTAACTACAATCGAACCTGCTCTTACATAGACAATCACCTCTCTATGGCCCCTTCTCACCTCCCTCTTGCGTCTTTTCTCTCTCTCTATATATATATATATAACACCTTAATGACACGGCCCAAGACGCCCACCAGTCCAAGACACCCACTGTTCTTCACGACAGTATAACAGGTGGCTACTAAGGACAATTTCAATTGTATTTTGTCCTTAACCTAGGGGCAAAATTAAGCACGGTTGCTGGGTTGTTTTTTTACTACAACCTATATAGACGAAAAGATTGAAACACACTAACAATTTAAACAACATGTACTGCACGATGCTACTGCCTTTCAGAAATTTTAGTCGTTAGTCGTAACAATTACTCTAAGTAAGCATTTGGAAACAGTGGCATCGGGGTCTTGTCTATAATAGGCTTTTAACTTATTATAACCTCTTTGGCGAACGGAGATCTGTAGTGGAGGTGGTCCACGTTGACCACAGACACGCTCATAGCTGATGAGGTCTTTGGGTCTAGGAATGGCACTGAGGTATTGCGGTTCCTCCTTCTAACCCTCCCGTTTGTTTTAATTTTAAACTGGCCTTGCGTGAGTCTTCAAATGAGGAGACAGCCTGGCAGTTGATTTGATGGCAGACATTGTTGTTTGCAGCAAGTGGCAACCACTGGAGGCGATCGATGTGGAAGATACAAAGAGACTTTTTTTCCCCAGGGAATCCTTGTACCTCTTCTTTGATGCCCCTCTGTCGAGGCGACCTGTGGAGAGTTCGCCATAAACACTTGGAAATACATGTACAATGTACAAGTAGTGTTGATCTATGCCAAAAGAGTGAGGCAAATACAGGGTTGACCACAAACGTGGCTTCGCCAATAATAAAATAAAATAGACAGATATGTTATGTATCTTGAAACAGAGGTAAAAGAAAAAGTTCTGGGGGTCCTCAGAGAATTTTTTTTGTTTTATTTTTTTACAGATATAGACATACCTAATAAAAACAGAAACAAAAACAAAAAGAAACCGAAAAGCAGCAAAGAAGCCAAGAAAAACAAAAAGCAAAAGCAAAACAAACAAATAAACAAACAAACAAACAAACAAACAAACAAACAAAAAGTCACAACAAAAACATTGGAAAAAAGAAAAGAAAGATTGAAAAGAGAACAATGGCAAATCAATAACGTGATCCCAAATGTTCTCTCAAATCCGGACTACAAGCTGGTCAGTTCATGTGGGTGACAGCTCGCTGCTGCAGGAAGTCCCCCATGATGCGTGCGCGTTGTGGAGCGGCGTTGTCGTCCTGCAGTACAGCCTGGGGTCCAATCTTCTGCAGGAGAGGAATAACAAGGGGACCTAAACCTTGCCGCGGTCAAATTTCTCTGTATATGGTACAGGGGGTCTTGTGGTGAGCTGAGAAGCCTCCCCACACCAGAACGGACCCTCCACCGTAGGGCGCCACCTGCTGGGTGCACTCAGGGTGGAACAGCTCTCCTCGGCGCCTCCAGACGTGTGCTCACCTGTCTGGGAGCAGCAAGTTGAATCTGGATTCGCTCGAGAAGACTACCTTGTACCACTGACGTCGTGCCCACAGTGAATGGCGAGCAGACCACACCCAGCGAGCTGCTTTGTGGGGCGGCGTGTGCCTTGGGCGCCTGGCAGGGACACGAGAAGCGAACCTGGCTCTACGGATACGGTTCCTTACCGTCTCCTCGCTCTCGTGGACATTGGCTGTCACCCGTAGTTGGTGGTTTGTAGAGGTGGTTCGTGACGTCACGGCCTGTCTGATAATGAACCGGTCGATGCTGTCGTTGGTCAAACAGGGCGGCCCTGGTCGAGGTCTGTCCTGGACCCTTCCGGTCGCTTGCCATCGTTCTTGCAGCCTCTATAGTATGACTGATGGGGACACCCCAAGTCGATGTGCAACGACTGGGAACGTGGAGCCATCTTGGAGCCAGGCCAGGGCTCGTCATCAGTCGACGCCAGGCAGAGAGCGTCGTTGGACCATCGTGTTGTAATGGAACTTGGCTGAAAAACACTGGCTTATAAAGGGTTGTCAGTGAGCAATATTCACAGCTAAGGCATCTGTTTAGCACGTGCCAAGCTTAGTTTTAGCTAACAGTCCCTATGCCAATGTTGCTGAAGCAGAGAAATTAAGCCCATTTTCCATGCTTTTCGGTTGTGTTTCAGAATGCCCTGTGCCGTCACTGTGAAGCTGGTGCGGGGAAATTTGCTGTACAGGCAAACTGTGTCTAGTCGTCAGTGCGAGTGGCAAGTTTGGTTGACTGAACTTAACGGGTTTGCGAGATATTGAAGCTCAGTTTTGACAGGTGAAAACACAAGTTGTTCCTTGACTTTAGTAGTTCTAAGCAGTGAGCAGTTTCAATCTTTTACTTCTGGGTTTTTGTGTCTTTCGTTTGTTGTTACTTCCCTTATCTTGCTTTTGTAAGTTAATTTTTTTTCTTCCTTTTTTGTATTTCCTTTAAGTTGCGTTCCCGCTTTTCGTGTGTCCGGTGACATCTGTGAAGGTTAGATCTAGTACTTGGCGTTAGTCAGTTTTCCATTTATTTTAGTTTGCTCACACTTTTTATTTCAGATCGTGATAACG